CATTTTTCAAGTTAGTGTTGAGTTTCCTCTTCTCTGGCACCTTTCAAAGCTAAAAAGGAAAGAGATTTCTTCTACAGAGTGATCTTCTGGGTCCTTGCTTTTCTTTCTGTTTGTCCCCTACAGTACAATCCACAAAGGTAATTTAGAATCATAGTTAAACTAGATTACTGCATAAGGGAATGCAGGCACAGACTCTAGGGGTAGCATGGCCTGGTTTATTTTAATAGCTCTGGATTACAGCATGGCCGCCCTGGAAGACACGGCAGATTACAATAGAAGGTAGATAGACCCTTGGAGGCACCATTATCATCTGCCATTGCTAGCTTCTCTTCTGGATCCTGGAGGAATTCAGTTCTTTCCTATTGTTGCCATTGGGTCACCCCTATTATATCTAGTTGAAATAACTTCTCTTCTAGTCATTAAGCTTGTATTTTGTTGTGTCTACTGTTTAAACCCACCCAAACACATGTTCTACAATCAACTGTTAAACCCATCCAGTAAGTTTTTAATTTCAGAGATTATCTTTTTCAGTTCTAGAATGTATATTTAATTCTTTTTTTTTAAAGATTCCAACTCTGTGCTAAAACTTTCCATCATTTAGGGCTTCCCTGGTGGCACAGTGGTTGAGAGTCCGCCTGCCAATGCAGGGGACACGGCTTCGTGCCCCGGCCCGGGAAGATCCCACATGCCACGGAGCGGCTGGGCCCGTGAGCCATGGCCACTGAGCCTGCGCGTCCGGAGCCTGTGCTCCGCAGCGGGAGAGGCCACAACAGTGAGAGGCCCGCGTACCGCAAAAAAAAACCAAACCAAAACAAAAAAAACTTTCCATCATTTAATCTACTTTATCTATCTTCTTAAATTTATTCACGTAGTGATTTTGAATTCTCCATCTAGATACCTGAATCACCTATGTGTCTGGTTCTACTGTCTATTTTTACTCTTGGGTTTTAGTCATTTGATCATTTTAAAGCATACTTCATAGTTTTTAAATTGAAAACCAGACACTGTGGGTTAGGATTTGTAGGGGCTCTGGGTGATATTATCTTTCTGTTCAAAGGGTTAGAGTTTCTTCTGGCAGGTGAAGGAGTTGGTTTTAGATTTTGTTAGGGGTGGTCTATTTCAGTTTTGCTCTTGCTACTAGGGTAGAGCCCTTATTTCTAGAGCGTGGCCCTTCTGGGATCTCAATTAAGAACCTGGGATTACCAAGGCCCCTAGACCTTGAATTTCAGAGGCTTGAATACAATCTGCTCGAAATTGAAATAATATCACACTTATTTCCCTCCCTAACTACCTCATCCTGTTTTCCACTGCCCCTTTCCAACCCATGACATATGTTCTTCTTTCTGAACTAAGATTACTGAATATCTCACCTTCCACATTCCCATTTTTATGGGCTCTGTCCTCCCATCCTGGCCCTTGGCTGTACCACCACAGAGCCAGTGGCCTGTGACCCCTTTTTGAGGGATCTGCTCCCACTTTTATGTCTTCATGTCACTTGAGGCTCTTCGTCCTTCTCTCACTCTCTCTGGCTTTACCTCTGAGCACTTTCCTCTCACACTTGGCCCAGAAGATGACTCCTTCTCCTCATTTACCCCCAACAAAACTTATCTTCTTGTAAAAAAAAAAGCTTTAATTGACATCCATGACATGTTGGAAATTTTCTAGTTCTCTGTTTAGAGGAGGAAGGGTCTTATGATGGAGAAGCAATAAAATGGGCAAAGAACCAGTAGCTTTACAATAAAACAGCCTATTTTGAATGTAAAATGTGCTTTAAGCTCATCCCAAATCATTGCCGCATAAAACTTAACTCAAGAAACAACCATATTTCAGAGGGGTTCTCCAAAACTATTGGCATAATTTCCAAGCTACATAAATATTTATGCATCTCCACTTAACCATGATTTTCTGCAGGGATGCATTTTAACTCTCAGTTCAGGGAAGGTGTGGTCCTCTTTTATAGGTATAACAGCAGGTGCACGTTGCTGGGCTGGGAAGCACTGAGGTAGCAGTGCAGTGACTTGGGCAAAGGAAGTAGGGAAAGTCGTTGTCCCATCTTCCCCTCTGCTTCCCAGGACATTTCAGTTCACTCGCGGATGCCCTGCAGCTCACATTTACCAGACCATGGGAGATGAGGACAGGGCGTCCCAGAGAAGTACCTCATTCAGTCCTCCTTCATTCCATTTTGTTTTTCATTCATTCAGTAATTACTGAAATGTCCTATGATACAAGGAACCGTTAAGCCTCGAGGGCAAAAGATAGTGTGGTCTGGTTTTCACCTGGTTCAAGAAGCCGCCTGTTTATTAGGGAGACAAAAAATACAAGCAGTGACACTGCCTTGAATGAATGGGTTCACAGGGCGTGAGCACCAAGGGCCCTGGGGAGGATAAGGGCCTGATTCTACTCACAGAAGATGATAGACTGCGAGATGAGGCCATGGCATGGAGGCCTGCAGGGAAAGCAGGAATCGGCTGGGCAGAGATTGACAATGGGGGCTTGGAGATGGCTGGAGATGGGATGGGGAAGCAGGACAGTGCAGACCAGGGCGTGGGGACACAGGAGACCGAAGACAGCTGGGTATGGCTGGAGCCCCAGTGAGCGGAAGAGGGGAGCAGCCCGTGAGGCCTGGCAGGGCGGTGGGACGAGACCATGGCAGCCTGGCACACTGGAACCTGCGAAGGGACCTGATCAGATACCCAGGAGCTTCTTCCCGGAGCAGAGGGAGTCAGCCAGCTGGGATGCAGCAGGTGGCTGGCGCCATGTTATGGCATGTGGGGTGGCAGCAGCCTCCCCCCTCTCATTCCACCTCAGCTGTGGGTTCCTTCAGGGAGGGGAAGACCAGCCTTTGGGGCCTGAGTTCCTACTTATCAGATGAATCAAAAGCCTTTATTTCTATCAGCCTCTCTGTATCACTGCTGCATGACTGCTGGTTTTCAAAACCTGTGATTGCCATATTGTAGTATTGTTTTATCGGTTCACCTGTAACTGTAAATGGGGGCTGGGAGTCATAATTCTGAGAACTTCTTACTTTGTTTCCTGCTGAAATGCGCGTTTACGCTTTAGTGTGACTGACCTGATAACGCGTTAAAAAGCATTTTCACGTTTGATCTTTACATAATACTCTGGGGACAGCAGGACTGAGGCGACCTCCAGCAGGGAGGTTCTGGGCATTGGGCACCCCCCACCGTACCCCATAATTCTTAGTCTGATTTTTTAAAAGATGTGCTTATTTTTTGTCTCTCCCCACGAGAATGTGTGTTTCAGGGGCAGTGACAATGCCTGCTTTCTTCATTGCTTTATCCATAATGCCTACAACACAGATAGGAACCAATAAATGTTTGTTGAATGAATAAAAATGAATGCAGAAAAAGCCCCTTTGGGCAAGGGATCTGGGAGGGTCTGGAGAGAGAGAAAGTGATGAGAAGGCTTTGGCAGAGGACGCAGGAGGTCCTGTGAGAAAGGAGTTTTGTGAAGTGTTACTAGGGGCCATGGGTTGAATCCCCCTCTCACTTTCTTTGACACACATGCAAATGAAATTGGCACTGCCTTTTCATTAGAACAACAAAGACAAAAATGTTAACTCTTGTCACTCCCATTTCACAGATGAGAACATTGACATATTGGGTAGCATCTTATGGAAAAACCCAAACGAACCTTTTGGCCAACCCAATAGCTAATACCAACCCAGAACTGAATGCTAGTCTCCTGGCTCCAAGCCATAGCTTTGTAGGAGAGAGATCTCTGCCTAAAGCGACAGTCTGAGAGTGGCCTTGAGGAGAAGGGGGCACAGGAGGACCAGGAAGTTCCCTGAAGAGAAGGGCAAGGGTTTGAGGGGCCAGCCCAGACTCGGGGGTTAGGGGAACAGAAACCATAATTGTACTTAAAAGAGCCATATACCATTTGGTGTTGACTTTTGTACAAATAGAGCATGAATCATTCTCTGGGAAACCTTGAACTTACTGAGGGACGTGATCTTAGCACAGTATTAAGGATTTATAATGGGCTCAGTAAATATCCACTGAACTGAATTGCTCCTGCATCTGCTGGACCCACTCAGCCCTCGCCTGCTTCTCTCCTCCCGTGGGACTGTCTCTGACCTGCCTTCTACCAGATCAGCTGAATACACAGCCCTCCAGAGTCTCTCCTCCTTCAGTTCCCCCAGCCTGCCTGCAATTTCTCCCAGCCCTGGCACTGACTCTGTGCTCTGGGAATGTTCTAAGCTCTCAGCTTTCACTGGTCTGTATTTTATAACCATTTTAGTAAGTTAAATTCCTTAAGGCCAAAATGCATATTTTTATCTCCCAAGCCATGTCAATATTCATGGGGCTAATTCACTGTTTTTTCACCTAGTCCTAAATCCTGACAGGGGGGTGGGTTAAATTAGATGTCTGCAAGTGTACCAGTACACTGCGGGGCATTCATTCATTCATTCACTCAACAAACATTTACCAAGCACCTCCATGCGAAAGGCCCTACAGGTTCTGAGATACCACAGCAAATAAAACAGACCAGATCCCATCCTTATGGAGCCCACAGACGAGTAGGAAAGCATCACTGAATAGGTAAAGATAATACGATAGAATCGAATTAAGCCATCATTTACTGTTTACTGAATATTTCTGGAATGGAAAAAAGTTGAGTATTGAAAATGGGTTAGGCTGCTGCAAGTAAACATTTTATCTTGCATCAAAGAAAGAAAATAGCCACTGGGGTCTGATTTAGAATTGAATGCCATCACTTAGAAAGCTTCTCAGTATAGCTGGGCCTCAGTTTCACCATCTGGAAACTGAGGATCATTGTGTAGGTTTGTTAGGATAATAAGGCATAACCCAGTATTGGGCAAGTAGAGACTCAGTGAATTGCATGTGGCATCCTTTTATTGTAATTTTGTTTTATGTCCAATGTCGGGTATATCAGACTAAAAGGAAATAAATGAATGTAATCTGGAACACTTGGTCCTTGTTTCAACAGAAAGAGGACCTACCAGACCCACAGGCCGTAGACCTGTATGAATTCCGCTTCAGCGACTTCCCCATCACAGAGCACGAACTGATTAAGTGTGGACTTCGGCTGTTTCTTGAAATAAATGTGGTGGAGAAATTCAAAGTACCTGTAGAGGTCAGATGGTATTTAATTTAAAATGCTGTGATTCTGTGGCTGAACTCCACTAAAATTTCCTGTGGTTCAGAAGATTCCCTGCAGTGTGGATTTTAAATTATCATTAACTTCGTCAGTTTGTCCACTTAAACCCTGTAAACAAGGCCAACCTATCTTTTCAGATAAGGTTGTCACAGACCTTCTTACCTTTAGAATTCTACTCCAAAGTCTGAGTGGTGTTGTCTTCTTTGGTGGCAGGTTCTCACCAGATGGATGTACACGGTGAGGAAGGGGTACCGTGCCGTCACTTACCACAACTGGCGACACGGGTTCAATGTGGGGCAGACGATGTTCACTTTGCTGATGGTAGGTACAGAGCCTGTGAATCATCATAAACCTGTGCATCTCCCTCCTGAGTGTGGTGAGAAATGGATCCAGTCCGTCACTTTAGATCAGTAATTTTGGAATTCATGGATACAGTCCCATAAACCCCCAACCCCCCTGGAGATGATGCCAGGGTACGTGGGTATCCCTGGGCGTTTGGCTGAATTATCACTCTGACACTCGTGTCCTTATATCCATAAAGGAAAATTCAGTTACCTGCTGGGTTTGTAACTGCCCAGAATGAGCTACAGTCCTCAAGAAATAAAGCCAGCTTGCTCTAAAAACACAGCAGACCCCCTTCTCCATTGCAGGCCGGCCTCATTGCACATGCTGCGGAGGTGCATTAACCCAAGTAAATATGTACGTCTGTTTTTTTAGACAGGAAGACTGAAGAAATACTACACGGATCTTGAAGCCTTTGCCATGCTTGCTGCTGCCTTCTGCCATGACATTGACCACAGAGGCACCAACAACTTGTATCAGATGAAGTAAGTGAACACGTGTGGCCACATCAGCGTGTTCTGGTGCCCCCCGCTTATTTGTAAACGCCTTCACTCCTTCTTTTTTCAACTTTGTTTCATCAAAGTATTGAATTCATACATTAGAGCGCATTGATCTTTGGCTTACACCTGTACACACCTGGGTAGCACCCCACCAGCTCAAGCTAGAGAACATTTCTTCCTGGGCTGACTACTCTCACGTCCCTGGTCCTTATACTTCCACCAACTGACCTTCAGCTGACCTTGCATCTTAACATCATCACCATCTTCCTCTCTTGACCAAGGAAAGAAGTGCAATTATAAGGGTACAGGCCCTCAGCTCAGACAGATTTGGATTTATTGGGTTCACAAGTCATTTAAACTTTCTAAGCTTCGAGTTCCTCATCGGGAAAATAATAATTACAGTAATGGTACCTAACACTTAAGGTCGTTGTAAAGATTAAATGAGATATATATAAGGCACTCAGCTCATGGTTGGCTCTTGGCAGTTAATAATTATTAAGTATTATTATTATTACTGTTATTGTGTCATTGGCACTTTTCAAAATTCATCAGCAATGCCATAGCCAGCCTAACTCCTTGATAGTGACATTTAAGAAGCTCTGTCTGCCTTGGCCACACTGTATCTTCATCTGTGACACATGACCTACCCCTCTCCAGAGGTACCAGAGGGAGTGAGACAATTTAGAGAGAATGAGCTTTGGAGTCTGGTTTTATGGGATCCAGATACCTCCCAGTTGAGGGATCTTGGGCAAATCATTTAATCTATTTGAGATTCTGTTTCTTAACTGTAAAATGGGTATAATATTGACCTCTTAAAGACTGCTGTGAGAATCACATGAAATTGTATATGTGAAACATAGTAGATGCTGAAGAAATTTACTCAGTGAATGAAATGCACCTCGTGAGCAGTGACCTTTCACCTTCAGCTACTCTACCAATCAGGCTTTGCCTTGAAAAGGGAATCTCCATTCTGGGTTCCGGGTAAGCAACGTCTTCGTCTTGAGAGTTCCAGCCCTTTATTTTTTTTGTTTACCTTTTTATTTTATATTGGAGTATAGTTGATTAATAATGTTGTGATAGTTTCAGGTGTACAGCAAAGTGGTTCAGTTATACATATACATGTATTGATTCTTACCTGTGTCCCGCTGTAGTGGAAGCATGGAATCCTAACCACTGGACCACCAGGGAAGTCCCAGTTATCCATTTTATTTTACTTATTTTATTTTATTTTTTATATCTTTATTGGAGTATAATTGCTTTACAATGGTGTGTTAGTTTCTGCTTTATAACAAAGTGAATCAGTTATACATATACATATGTTCCCATATCTCTTCCCTCTTGCGTCTCCCTCCCTCCCACCCTCCCTATCCCACCCCTCCAGGTGGTCACAAAGCATCGAGCTCATCTCCCTGTGCTATGTGGCTGCTTCCCACTAGCTATCTGTTTTACTTTTGGGAGTGTATATATGTCCATGCCTCTCTCTCGCATTGTCACAGCTTACCCTTCCCCCTCCCCATATCCTCAAGTCCATTCTCTAGTAGGTCTGTGTCTTTATTTCTGTCTTACTTGATGAATCTCCTTATGTGCCCTTACTGTGCTGGGGGAATCGCTCAGGAGTCCACAAACATCTGGAGACATTACACTGGTAAAAACAGTTAACAGAAGATTGAATAAGACTGAATTATTATTCTCATATTGGTGGTACCGATCAGGCTACTGTGCAGTGTAAGCTGAAGCTGTTGGGACACAGCTTCCTGGCTTGACCTTGTGTCCTTGGTCTGATTTCTTGTCTCCAAAATGTCCAACGCCCTGGGTTCTGGTTTTCATCCTTATCTCCCATCTTTAGACTATGCCCTCTGGCAATGCCCTAGAAACCTTGCCATTTTCAAATTTTTATTATTCCCTTGAGTTCTTTTGTTCTCTTTGTTCACTTTTCTGGCCATTTTGTTTTCTGCTTCATTCTTTCATAGGTTCATAGATTTCTTTGTTCCTTTCATCCCCCTTTTCTTGGTTAGTTTTTCAGTTCTCTCATCTTTCAGTCTCCTTTACTCACCTCCGCTTTGTGTCTGATGAGATGTGGTTATCAGCAAAAAATCTGAGGAACTTTAGCATTTATCTCATCCTCCTCCACCCCACATTCAACGCAGGCCTCTTTCCTACTGTATTTCTTCCTGAGTTCTCTAGTCTACATTCCATTATTTTTTATAATGGCTCATAAGGGACTCATATTTTTGAATGATTCTAATGGCTGAATGTTCTTCATGATATCAAATTGAAATTGGTCTCCTTATAACTTCTGTTAGTCCTAGTTCAAGTCTCTGAAGCTGTTAGAATATGTATAATTTCTCATCCACAGGCTATTCCTTCTTATATTAAAGAGAATTATTATTTTCCCCTCCTCTTTTCCTGGCTGAATATACCTGGTTGAACTTTTGTTTTAATCATTTCTCATATAATATTTTCTATACATATAATTTTATCTGTTATTCTTCTGTGAACCCACTCCAGTGTTTTTATGTCATTCCTTAAATGTGGGTCTTGGCAAATACCGTATGCTAACACATATATATGGAATTTAAGAAAAAAAAATGTCATGAAGAACCTAGGGGTAAGACAGGAATAAAGACCGAGACCTACTAGAGAACGGACTTGAGGATATGGGGAGGGGGAAGGGTAAGCTGTGACAAAGCGAGAGAGAGGCATGGACATATGTACACTACCAAACGTAAGGTAGATAGCTAGTGGGAAGCAGCTGCGTAGCACAGGGAGATCAGCTCGGTGCTTTGTGACCGCCTGGAGGTGTGGGATAGGGAGGGTGGGAGGGAGGGAGACGCAAGAGGGAAGAGATATGGGAACATATGTATATGTATAACTGATTCACTTTGTTATAAAGCAGAAACTAACACACCGTTGTAAAGCAATTATACCCCAATAAAGATGTTAAAAAAAAATGTGGGTCTTGGGGTTTGACATAATAATCCAAACATGATCTGAAATACTTTATATTTAATCCTAATTAAATTTCATCTTCTTAATTTGGTTCTTTTTTTAAGATTGAAGTTTAGTTGATTTACAGCATTGTGTTAGTTTCCGGTGTACAGCAAAGTGATTCAGTTTTATATATATACATATATATGTATATATATAATCTATCTTTTTCAGATTCTCTTCCATTAAAGGTTATTATAAGATATTGAATATAGTTCTCTGTGCTATACAGTAGGTCCTTGATGTTTATCTGTGTTATATATGGTGGTGTGTGTGTGTTAATCCCAAAGTCCTAATTTATCCCTCCCTCCCTCTTTCCCCTTTGGTAACCTAAGTTTGTTTTCTATGTCTCTGAGTCTATTTCTGTTTTGTAAATAAGTTCATGTGTATGATTTTTTGAGATTCTACATATAAGTGATATCATATAATATTTGTCTTTGACTTACTTCACTTAATATGATAATCTCTAGGTCCTTCCATGTTGCTGCAAATAGCATTATTTCATTCTTTTATATGGCTGAGTAATATTCCATCATACACACACACACACACACACACACACACACACACACACACACACACACCTCCCACATTTTCTGTATGGTATATATACCATATATATATACACCACATCTTCTGTATCCGTTCATCTGTCGATGGACATTTAGTTTGCTTCCTTGTCCTGGATATTGTAAATAATGCTGCTATGAACATTGGGGTGCATGTATCTTTCTGAATTACAGTTTTTGTCTTTTCCTGATATATGCCCAGGAGTGGTGTTGCTGAATCACATAGTAACTTTATTTTTAGTTTTATAAGGAACCTCCATACTGTTTTCCATAGTGACTGCACCAACTTACATTCCCACCAACACTGCAGGAGGGTTTGCTTTTCTCCACACCCTCTCCAGCATTTATTATTTGTAGATTTTTTTAATGATGGCCATTCAGACTGGTGTGAGGTGATACCTCATTGTAGTTTTGATTTGCATTTCTCTAATAATTAGCAATGTTGAGCATCTTTTCATGTGCCTGTTGGCCATCTGTATGTCTTCTTTGGAGAGATGTCTGTTTAGGTCTTCTGCCCATTTTTTGATTGGGTCATTAGTTTGTTTTTTTTATATTGAGCTGTTTGTATATTTTGGAAATTAATCGCTTGGCAGTCACATTGTTTGCAAATATTTTCTCGCATTCCGTAGGTTGTCTTTTCACTTCACTTATGGTTTCCTTTGCTGTGTTAATCTGATTCTTTATTCCACTCTTAATTGAAATTGCCTTTTAAAGCAGTCTGTCAGCCAATGGATTCGATATTTTTTCCAGCTTTTTTATCATCTGAAAATTAGATAGTCATGATTTCCATCAATATTCATTCAAGTCATTGATAAAACTGTGCATCAGGACAAAACCAGGGCAGAGTTCCGAGACTTGGGGCTAGAAACCTATCCCTGGGGAAGACAGTTAATTAAGCAGCACTCACTGGGTGGTGCTGTTCAGTATTTGTCCACACTCAATATTCCAGCTCATACAGAACACATCTT